TCTTTTAGGGTCTCAGTAGAGCTGGTGGTAAGACCATACTGTCTAGGTCTGTGACTTGGATCAACGGACTATTTCAAATAAAAGTAATAATGGAGAGAGAGAGAGGGACGGAGAGACGGAGGGAGAGAGAGATGAAAGAAGCTATCTTCTTTTGTCTTTCTCCTAGGTTCGTAATAAATACACTCCTGATGATTTTAATGATAATCTATATACAGTGCTAAGATGGTCTGGCTGTCGCAATGAGAAGATTGTATTCATAATGGATAAGTCTAATGTCCTCAATTTAGGATTCTTGGAAAGAATGAACAGACTACTAGCCAATGGAGAGGTAAGAGAAGAGAGAAAGAGATCTTTATATGTACATGTACATACATATACATGTAGTATTTCTACCTGTATTTAAGTTTAAACTTTAAATATTCTTTCTAGCAATAGTATGGCTTCTATTTCCTATCCATTGACTCGTAATATTAAGAACCCTTGTACATGTACATACCGTATTTGCTCGATTAAACACCCGGGCGTTTATTTCTTAACAGAGAAAAATTCAAGTACAAAAAACAAAAAAGCCCATAGTGGATTCGAACCCGCAACCTTCTAGCATTCCAAACTGTACTCCAACAGTTAGACTATCTGGGACAATATAAATCCTATAGCACATATGCTGGGTGAAATATGCGTATCTATAGTTAGAAAATATTTTGTCATGGGTGTTTATTTGAGCAGGGAGTTTATTTGAGCAAATAAGGTACATATGTACATGTAATTCTAATATAATTCAAATTCCCCCTCACAGGTTCCTGGATTATTTGAAGCCAATAAATTCACAACCCTCATGACCCAGTGCAAGGAGGGGTCTCAAAAGGAAGGACTGATGCTTGATTCCTCAGATGAGCTCTACAAATGGTTCACTGATCAGATAATGAGACACCTTCACGTGGTATTCCATATATAAACCCTTCCTCTGAGGGTCTTAAAGACAAAGCTGCTACCTCTCCTGCTTTATTCAATTGTTGTGTGTTGAACTGGTTCAGTGATTGGTCCACTGATGCTCTGTATCAAGTTGGATATGAGTTTACTAATAAAGTTGATCTTGATAAATCAGACGTAAGTACATGTGTATATATAGATATATATATATGTGTATACATATATACACTACATACATGTACATCAATATATAAGCCAAGAATACATTGTATATGCATGTGTAAGATTCAAAGAGCTTATAAGTTATAGACACTTCTTGTTTGTGATACAAATATTTTGTTACCCCTTTCTCTTTTTTAGGTGTTGATAAGTCCTCCTATACTGATACTTTGGTACCAAATTTACTAGCCTATTCCCAGCCTCACATTTGGTCTCACAATAAAGAGATTTT